TATAAGCGATCTCATTCTCCATAGAAAAACAAGTTGATTTGAAGAACCACTATGAGGATAGGTTGTTTTCAAAGTCAAACGTAATTGTTTTGATATAAAATCGAGTATATCTACATCTATTTTAAACCACACAGCGGGCTGGATATGACCTAAATAACTCATTAAATTTGTTTTCAAAGTGAATTACAGTGCACTTTTCCCACCGTGCATTTGGTTCAACTGCTTGGCTCTTTGCCTTGCATGCAGAAGACACGAAATTGATTCAAACTTGGGGAAGACATTCTTATGGAGTATCCCCGTGTTTCGGCTCTAATGTAGTCATTACACCGCCCAAGCCAGTCTTGTCTTACAGATTCAAATAATCCCTACCTCTAGATTGTCAAAAGCAGTGGTTCTTAATTTAGTTGCACATACTTAACCATGCACGTTTCATACAAGATATCTAAACAAAACGACAAATTTAAATTACAATATCTCGGTCACGTTTTCAGCAATTTCTACAAAAATCTAAAGAAAGAGAATTCAACCAAAGGGACGTCAAATGTACCACACATGAACAACATCAATCTCCGTGTTCGGGAATAATCAAGTCTTTCAATGGTCAGCCCAAGTTGAGTAAAACGAAAGACTTCAATTCTTAAGAACTGTCCAGCTACAGGGGCCTGATCGGCCTGTTTCTGGTTTCGGAAGTAGATCAGTAAAAGCCCGACCATCACATCAGATGTTATTCTCATCAAGCTGAGAAATTTTGGAGAATTTTAGGTAGAGAAGGGTTTATTCTTTTGACGAGATCTAGCTCAAGCACGGTGGGTGCCATACTCCACACATGAGAAGAGACGCCTGCTTGTTTACAAGAGAATTTTGTAGAAAGCGCTGAGAGCAGAAAGCTTACAAATGAATTGTCACAGCATTCCCCCAACTTGAATCCCTCCATTTTTCCTTTAGGGTTGTTTGACAGTAGTAGCAAAGGTAGTCAACGGAAATAACCCAGTAACAAGCTAACAGTTGAAACTCAATGTTGAACAGAATGTCCAATAAATCGACACAGTAATTTGTCACTGTGTTATCGTACTCAAAATTTCCAAGGACCTATTCGAGCTTGTCTGGAACGAAATGGTCAACACCTGGAACATACCATTAAATAGCCGCCACTTTCCCTGAGTTTTTTTTTTTTATGTCAGTCTTACGCAAATTTGTTCTTCAATGCTCGAATACACATTATAAAGGTTGAATTTTAAGAAATTGCAGTTTTGCGTTTCACTCAAATTTTGATTGAAATTTTAATTTCTTGAACATGTTGATTGATATCTTTTTAATCAATCAAATGCAACGTCCCTTTTGTCGGATTTATTTGCTCCAAGTTTGATTGAAATTGGCCCAAAAGATGACCAAGTTATTACCTTTTGAATGGGTGCTCTTTTTTCTCTGACACACGGTACACGCTTTCATACACCCTTTCCTATGAGTAGGGTGAACGGGATGGGACACACACACACACACACACACACACACACACACACACACACACACACATCACACACACAATACACATACATGTATACACACAGACACACACA